ACCAGCAGGCCGCGGGACTTGGTACACGACAGATGTCAGCGTCTCTTTCCCTCCTTAAAACACTCGCAGCAGTTTCAGGTTTTTCTTTCTCTTTCTTTCTTTTTTTTTTTCCTGCGAATAAATCTAAACTACATTATTAAATAGAAATAGTTACTCGCAACAACTTAATATCTTAAGGGTCCAAGTCCCAGAGAATCCCTAGTTGTCAGAGCTTTGAGAATCCTTCCTTCCCGGCCCGTCAGTAGCGTGGAGTCTGGTCGTCTCCCACCACGACAGAGCTCTCACAGGGACACGGTAACCGCCCGGCCTTCGTGGGCTGGCTCCGAGGGACGCTACGACACCCTTAGCAAAGTTGGCAAGTTCTTATGTCACACGGATCTCCCAAGGACCCCAAGGCTGACTGCTAATGGATTCACACTGGAGACAGACATTTCAACAATGATACAGTCCTGTAACTTAGGAGCAAAAGATTTGAAACGTTCTCCTATCAACTTCTTTTGTATTAGGCTGTGTATTCATGGTTAGTTCTGCCAGAAGTTACCTGGAAAACTACAATAGGAAGTGGTAAGACTCTGAAAGAGGCCGCACCGACAGGACAGAGCCACAAGATCTGCACAAGTGTGGTTTTATCCAGTGTGGGCAAGAAGTCCTCCCCCCCACAGCTCTCGATTTCACCCCATTGCAGTGAAAGTTGCTTGGGCTGAAATACAGGGACTTAGATCTTCAAAGCTAAAGGGAATTTTTCTGCTCAAATAATATTATTTTAAACCCTAAAGCCTTCCATGTTAAAATGTCGGTTGGTTAGGCCTTGCCCAAGGATTTTGCAGTTGAGTATGTGTTTAAAAAAAGAAAAGAAAATCGTTATATTCTGACTGTTCTTAAAATGGGACAATCAGCCTCATGCCGAATTGGTGTAAATCAAAAGAATACCCTAGAATCTGAGGCACTGTGACATGAGGCTTCAAATTTTATGATCCATTTCCTGGCTGCAGAGAAACTAAAGCAGAGTTGTTACATTTTTTTAAGGAAAGGCTTTTAGTAGTTTTTTAGAGTTTTATTTTAGTAGTTTCATTTCTATGCAATGCAGAATGGACAGACCTCTGTATGCGTCTCTCTTCCCGGTGCACAGTATTACGTACAGTTTTGAGGCGATGGTGATGCTTACGACAACTTTTTTGGGGGAATGTGACATTGATCTCTTAATTGTAAACACTACAAAATGTCAAAATAACGAGAACTGACACAACTTTGCCTTAAAGAGTACGAGCCTGGAACTTGTCATATGATGTTAGAGGAAGACTTGGGAGTGTCCACTGATGTTTACGATTTTAATATTTCTGAAGGCCGTTATGGTGGCCTGGACATGTGCTGAAAGCCAAACTTTTAAATTTTTTGGTTTTTTAAAAAGCAAAGAAATATTTTAAATAAATCCTATTTCAACACAGTGAAATTGTTGACAACTGTCTCATAACAAAAGGAAACAAATCATATTTAGGGTTTTTGTTTTAGTGGTCAGTATTGGGGAATGAAAGTGTCTGTTGTTACCCTTAGGACTATTTTGATAAATATTAGAAGTCAGCGTTCCATATAACAAGAAGTTGAAACAAGAGCTTTGATTGGAAGTATGACATTCAAATTGAGGTAAACGAGTCCAGACATTGTGCGGCTGTGTTCCAGTCGTCAGAGGTTGTAGAAAAATCCCCAGTTGGTTTTGGAAGTGCATGTGCGGTGTGAGGCCTCCAGTGAGGCCATTCCAAGGTGGGAGTTGTGAAACGTAAATGTGACATACACGGGACACAAAGCATTCAGCTGCCGATCTGCGTGATCTCTCTCCAAGTGAATTTCCATACTTGGACCTGGGAATATTCGCTGGCAGTATTATCTCTGATGAATTTCTCTCCAAAGCAACCAAAGTCAGTAAGCCTGAAGAGCGTTCTGCAGTTCCTCAGATGTCCTCACCTTAGAAACACAGATCCGACTGACACCTTCAACTACGTAGTCATTTTCATGAAACCATGGGCTCAGTTTCAAAATGCTGTAGCAGCCAGGTAGGCGTGGCACGGCCACTTGCCTGTGTGTAGTCTGTCATATATCAGAGTCTCTCACCCCATTTTTTGTCTCTAAGAATGGGGAAAGTGGAATGTAAAGACTGAAGTAAAATACAATGTCGAGATAAGACAACTATTAAAAAAAATTTTTTTTAGCCGAACATTCAATTTTCTACCTTCTTTTCTAATTTTTATTTCAAAAATACTGAAAATTAGAAAGTGTTTAAATGTTAAAACTTGTAATTGTTGAAGAGCACTGAGGAAATGGGAGCTAGCACTTACAATAAAAATAAGGACAAAATTATTTTCTTCAAAGCAGGTATGTGATTGGGTATTTAAAAAAACAACCAACCAGCATCATCTATAATCTCCAGAAGATTACAGGAGTCAGCTTGTGAATATGGTAGTTAGTAGGTTCAGTGTTTTAATTCACTAGAAGTCACTGTAGCTAGTTTGCACTACACCATGTGTGGAGGTGCCGGGCGGCCGGGCAGCTCCACCCAGTGTCACACGCGCAGCCCAGTGGGAGCCCCGGCAGGTCTGATCAGTCGGGATCTGACCTAGGCTTGCTCTGGGCTGACTCCAGTGTCCCTGGAGAGCACTGGCCCAGTGGAATCAGGTGGCACCTTCCTCACTCCTTATCATTTTGTATTCTTCCTGCTTCTGTGGTGGGTTATTTGATGCTTTGCTAGTTTTATGTACTGGTTACTGATGGCGTACGAAATGAGTCTCGAGGATGGTTAGGGAAACCATGTCCTTCCCAGAGGATGGGCCTGTGGAACCTGAGCAGGCAGACCTCCTTTCCAAAGTGCAGATGACCCCCCAGAGAATGAGTCAGGTGACGTTTAACACTACGGGTTCTGAAGAGGCTCAGTTTGCCAAGTCCCAAGATTCTGAATGAAAAAAATCTTCAGTCAGTCCTCTGGAAACCACACTTGCTGGTTGAGGCCTAAGGTCACTCTGCTACGCTGGTCCAGGTGGAGGGGAGCTCAGTGCATCGTCAGTCAGTCCCGGGTATTGTAACAAGCCCCTCACATGCATTAAGTTCTTACATGCACAAGGAAGGCGGCTTTGGTACTGAAACCGAAGACCTCGTGTGCTCAAGAATCTTCACAGCTTATATTGGACAGATTTTCTTTTTAGGAATGAAGGAAAATTCTCCCATTTTTGAGCCATTCTTTTATGTCAATTCTACAAAATTGCATGTAACTTTATAAATATTTTTAAAAGATATAGTTTTGTAAATATTTAATATTCTGCTAATTTGATTTTGAATTGTAAATGTTAAGTATTCTGTTTTTGAAGTTTTTATGTTTTATTATACTTTGTTAAAAAGGAAAAATTGTACATTTTTAGAATGTTTTTATGAGTAAATTTAATGTACTGAAAATAAAAATTAAAAAAAAAGTTTCATTTTATTAGGTCTTTGTTTCATAGAAAATGAAGCACACATCTTTTTGAATAAATTGTTAATTCTTGATCCTCAAGGGAGTCAGCCTTCCCTTCTCAGTTGACAATAGATACATGGTCTTAAATCCATTTTTAAAATTTTTTAAACTTTAACATTTATTTTTGAGAGACCGAGAGAGGGACCATGAGTGGGGGGCAGACAGAGAGAGAGAGGGAAACACATTATTCAAAGCAGGCTCCAGGCTCTGAGCTCAGGACAGAGCCCAACGTGGGGCTAGAACTCCAAAACGTGAGATCATGACCTGAGCCGAAGTCGGATGCTTAACTGACTGAACCACCCAGGCGCCCCAAAACTTTTCTTTTTGAGAGCTGGAGAGCTCGTGAGCAGGGGAGAGGGGCAGAGGGCTAGAAAATCCTAAGCACGCTCCATGCTCGGTGTGGAGCCCATCCCAGGGCTCGATCCCACAACCCCTGGGATCATGACCCAAATTGAAATCAAGAGTCAAGATGCACAACTGACTGAGCTACCCAGGTGCCCCTTCAATCCATTTTCTATTGTTTCCCAGGTTTTTGAAAACATCCTTGCTATGAACAGAAGTCAACTCTTGATACAGGGTTTAAAGAGGTTCCAGCTTTAGGTTCCATAAGAAATCAAGGTTGGCTTGAATAGGTGTCACGGATCTTTGAAACTTCTGTGAACGTGTGGTTTACCCATGGCATGAACATGTCCTGGCGCTTAAAGCTCCGTCTTCCCTGGATCTGGGACGGTGACGGTCACACTTCCCAGCAGAGGTCCCCAAGGCCTCTGGGTCCTGTCAGGCCTAAGGCTGCCCAGGGGGAAACACGTGCGTGCACACGGTTCGAGACCACGAGGGCTCCGTCAGGAGGGACAACCAGCCCGTTCCTGCAGGTGACAGCAGGCCCCTCCAACCTGCTGTCTGGTCAGGCCAGGCCTCTGAAGGGGGACGTGCACACCTGAGCAGCAAACTCAGGGCAACAGAGCCATGTCCTCAGCTTGCTCCCCGGGCTTGTCCACAGACCTCTGAAGTGCCTGCTTCCAGTTAGAAATAGGTGGAAGTTTTCAAATGAGCAATGCTGGCCACTTCTTGGCTGCTGTCTGTGCCGCATCTTTCCCTGATGCTGCGTAATGTGCCACAAGCCATGGAATGTCTTGACCAGTCAGCGCGTACTCTACTTTTTCATTTAGGGTGGCAGGGTTCCAAGTGTTATTCCCAACACACCCAGGCCCCACATCCCTCCAGACACTGTGGCAGGTCTTCAGTTCCCAGGCGACTCCGGTTTTTTAAGACAAGACGAGCCAGCAGAACCTTGACCAAGGTAAGGAAGGTGCCTGGGACAAGGCAGAGCCCTTCAGAGGTGGGCACACCTCTGCCCACTCCCCTCCTCCCCTGCGCCCCATGGCCACAACGAACCCAGCCTTGGTGCTCGTTAGGAAGGAAATCCCCACCTAGCTTGGGATGGTGTAGAGGCTATATGGCACTGCAAGTATCGGATACCGACCCATTAAACTGAACTCAGCGGTGGTTTTTAGTTGTGCCTTTATTCACCTTAATTCATTAAAAATGTACTTGGTTTAGAGATCCTATAGTGACCGCCCACTAACAGGGGACAGAAGTCGCCCTTCCCATGTGGCATTTTTTTAGAAAGCTGAATTTCTTGTAGGAATCTTACTGATCACACAGAGTTACAAGAATGTCAGGTATAATGATGTGTACAAGCTAAACAAGACAGGCTGATAAGAATTCACATAATGTAAAAATACACATATTAAAAGTTAGCCATGTGGACAGATGCATGCAGCAGGAATAGTCGGAAGGCCGGGGACTCAAGTGCCCATATGCAGTAATATTGCTCCCCGCCCCCATTAATAAGTAACTTCCACTAACAGGTACAGGTATTCCACACATGTCTAAATACACAAAGGTGAAGCATGACCTCCTTGCTACACGTACAGTCCAACGTGGTTTGTGATCTTTTTGTGTTACTCCCACAAAAATAGTAAATAGCCCCATGCAGGTAGTAGGAAGCGCTGGTTATTCTAGTTGAACTCGGAAAATGTTTAACTTTTGATATGAATATCCATCAAGAGTGTATGTCTCCTTTTGTTGTTTTCTTCACAACCGACATGCACTTAGAGCAGAGGAACCGGGGCAGCTGTCTCACCTACAGTGACAACTGATACTCTTAAAAATGTGGAACTTTCTAGTAACAGTCACACAATTAACATAAAACATGGATCATCTACAGCTTTAGGCCAAAAGGTAGAGGGAGCGCATCTGAATTTTCATGCTTTAGTCTCCGTGTTCTGTGGTTCCTACCACTGTCCTAACGAACTAAACTGCGCCAACAGCTTGTTTCTCTACCAAAGCAGACAGTTTAACCTCTCAGAGAATATACAAACCAAAAGAAATGTCACATTTTTCTTCCCTGGGCCCCTTCAGAAACTAGACCAAAATTTTAAGTTATTCAAGGTTCTTACTGAGCAGTGGTGCTTTACTGTCTAGAGAAGCAAACGAATCCCCGCCCGCCACCCAGCACTGCAGGGGTGTGGCCTCCAGGCACACTTACACTAGGAGTCAGGAACCTTGAGAAGCAATTCAGAGTTTCCTTGTACACCCCAATTTTCCCTGCTTTTTGCCCACTATTATGGCCAACGGGGGTGGGCAGGAAGGGGGCTATGCTTGACCACTTATGCTTCCAAGATCCTCTTAAAGAGAGTTCTCTAGTTGAGTAGAAACCCTTCTACAGAAGGTTGGCCGGTTCTGTGAACCTAGAAAAGAATTTCTCTCTGAATTCTTAAATTAAATTGCAAGTTCCTCAAGGGGAAAGAACATTAAAATAACGTGAAGTTCTATTTTATTGGCAACTTAGAATGCAAAGTATTTTATTTTTAAACTTCTACTAAACTTGAAAACAAAACAGCCTAGGTTAAATAATAGTTTTTCCAAAGCTGAATGTGCTCGTTCGGAGCTCCATCTTTCTGCTTGCGGCACAAAACAACTTCCTACATCTCCTAGGCAGGAGCACTACTGTTTTGATGATCTGTGATTGGATGAACGGATCAATCTCAGTTGGTAATATCCCTTTTTTTTCCTTGGTAAGGGCTTAAAAAAAACTCTATTATAACAGATGCATGTTTCTAGTCTTACACAGACACTTTGATTCCAAATGTCTCCTGAGAGGCATATACCATATACAGGAACCCATCTTCGTCCTTCTCACTTTCATATACTTCAGAGATCGGCGTGGACACACTCACCATGCTGTGTCCATTCACTAACAGGAAGAACGCCTGATTAGCGTTGAGCTGTAAGCGCCTCCTATTGAAAGAAAACAATGTGAAGAGATACTAGGCACAGCAATACGCAGGGAACGTGTAAACCCCCGCCCCCCCCGCCCCTCCCCCAACATATAAGTATAAAGATTGTGTACATGCTGCTTCTGGCAAAATGAAATGTATGCCTACTGATGACACTCTCAAAGCTTCTCATTAAGTACAGGACATTTCCCAGGATTATACTCACAAAGGATATATTAGTGGCAATATTTGATAGATTAGTCTTACTATGTTCCTGAGGCCAGTCTTAAACTAGTATCTGCTCTCTGAATAGCTGTTAGTGTCTAATATGAGAAATACTTCAATATAATTTATAAACTATTACCAGTGTACCAAGTCTGCATTCTTCTACTAATTTTGCTGTACAAAACCTGTAGTAACTTTTCTGATTAAGAGACATCTATCCTAGATGTTATGAAAGAATCAGAGGGACAGCAGATCCAACAGGTAAGAGAGAGAACTCAGAAAAGAAACATCTTTAGGTTTTACTGAGCTTGTGTAGATTTTAATCAGAACTAAAGATAAAAATATGAAACCAAACACAACAACAAAAACTAAAGATTTATCTGTAAGTCTGATAAAGAATGAAAAGCTACCCAAAGAAACAGAGAAAAGTGATTAAATACCTAATGATCTTGATGAGCTCACTCATGTTGACGTGATCAGGTACAAGGAACTTGGTTTTGTCCAGTACAGGAAGCTGCTTCTCACCCTTGTACCGTTCTATTATCACCTAGAAAAAACAGCCAAAAAGCATTAACGATGCAGAACAGACAAAACACTTCCTATGTTGTAACTGGCACGTACCTAAATGGAGTTTGAAATTGAAAGTGGCACATGTTGGTTTCCTCAAAGCTGTCTTGTGAAGAGTGATCATTTATCAGCTTAGACTCTATCCCGTACACAATACGACACACAATACAAAGTGGCCACCTCCGGGAAGTGAGGTATCTGTTGTTTTTACTTGGAACCATGAAAATATACTAACTAGTCAGGAAAAAAACACTAAGAGCAGAGACGAGGTACTCAAAGTGTAAAGCTCTGATGTCAATTACAACACCACCATTTCCTCTGAAATGGGTAAGATCTTTTTTTTTTTTAATTAGAGATGTGCCTCTAAAAAAACTTTAAGGTTTTTATTTATTTATTTTTGAGAGAGAGAAAAAGAGAGAATACAAGCAGGGGAGGGACAGGGAAAGAGAAACCAAGAATCTGAAGCAGGCTCCAGACTCCAAGCCATCAGCGTAGAGCCCAACTTGGGGCCCAAGCTCATGAACTGTTAAGATCATGACCTTAGCCAAAGTCAGACACTTAACCAACCGAACCACTCAGAGGCCCTGTACTTTTTTTTTTTTTTTTTAATGTTTTATTTATTTTTGAGAGAGAGAGATAGCATGAGCAGGGGAGGGTCAGAGAGAGAGGGAGACACAGAATCTGAAGATAGAGTCCAGGCTCTGAGGTAGCTGTCATCACAGACCCTGACACGGCTTGAACCCATGAACTGTGAGATCATGACCTGAGCTGAAGTCAGATGCTCAATGGACTGAGCCACCCAGGCACTCCCCCCACGCCACTTTTTTTAAGTTTAAGAGAGAGAGCTCTCATGACAGGAGAGGGACAGACAGAGACTTCTAAGCAGGCCCCACGTGGGGGGTCCACACTGACAACACAGGGCTCAATTCCAGGAACCATGAGATCATGACCCGAGCTGAAATCAGCAGTCAGACTAACTAAGCCACCCAGGTGCCCCTGAAATATGCAAGATCTTAATTATGGTAAGACACTCAAATGTTTTTTTCATACTTGACCTGTTTCTCTACTTGACATGGAAAAAAGTCCTAAGTAAATATCTGACAAGTAGAGACAATGATTCACTAGTTCTGGAGACAAATTTTGTGCAGAAAGACTTGAAGAGTCTCTCATATTGACAAAATATTACCAAAGAGTTAAAAAAAATGTTTTAACGTTTATTTTTAAAAGAGAGAGTGTGAGTGGGGGAGAGAGAGAGAGGGAGACATAGAATCTGAAGCAGGCTCCAACCTGTTAGTACAGAGCCTGATGCGGGATTCGAGCCCACGAACTATGAGATCATGACCTAAGCTGAAGTTGGAAACTTAACAGACTGAGCCACCCAGGTGGCCCTCTTTAATGAGTTTTAAAAGTCAAAAATCTTTGTGGGTTGGAGCCCCATGTCGTGCTCTGTGCTGACAGCGCAGGCCTAGAGCCTGCTTTGGATTCTATATCCCTCTCTCTGCCCCTCCCCTGCTAGCGCTGTCTCTTAAAACACTTTTCCCCTACTTCCATGCTGCTACAAAAGCTGACCAGACTGCTGACTGCCTGTGCTGCACCATCTACTTACTGAGGACCACAGACATCCTTCTCCAAGCAAAGCAACTGTACGCTGCCACAGCGAGAAGCTGAGAGACAGGAATGGGAATCTTTACAGAATGTTTGTTTAGAAAAGGGGAAGACACTTTCTGTACATGGCTCCACTGTAGGGGAACCCACATGAGGTTCTGTATAAGGCCAAATCAAACTGTTATCACCTTCCTTGATAAGATCTAGAACTTTTATCCACAGGGTGTGTTCAGAACATTATCCACAAGGAAGAATCACATAGAGTACACTTGCCTGGGTCTGACCAGTGGCAGGGATCAGGGGCAGTACAAAAATCTTAAATTCCTGGTCCAGGAAGAGGCAGAAGCATCAGAAGAAAAACTCAAGACCTTAGAACCCTTCCCTCAAAGAAGGACACAGCAGCAGGCTGGGGACACAGGACAGGATGGCCTTGGGCACCTCTTGCTCTCAGGTGCTCAGGCTGCTCTGCAGGGGGGAGGAACTGTTCAAGCTGCTCCTGACTCGCCGGTGTGGTGATTGCTGTGAGAACGATCACCTACAGATGCCTGGTTTACTTGTCTGTTCCTATGTTTTCTTTTTGCTGTACTCTTGTAATTTGGGAGAGCAGATGTGAAGTCGCGAGATGAGGCATCTGGCTGGGTCTGAGAAGTGCCTTCCGAGTGCCGCACTTTGGTGGCTGCTGCGGGTGGAAGCATGGATGACAAAGCTGTCCTTGGGAATGGGGACTGGATGGCCAGCGAGCCACTGCTTTCAAACATGAAAGCTTCTACAGAATTTTTAACAGAATTTCTAAGTGGTCCATGGAATTCGTAGGAGGTGACAACCATGTACAGAGAATTATACAAATCTTTTCAACAACTACGTGGGATGGATTCTCTTCCCAATTTACAGATAAAGATGTAGCAGCTCCTTTCAAATTTTATTAAATAGCTCAAGATCACTTAGTAACCTTGAACCCAAGGCCTCTATCTGAAACCAGAAATTTCTTTTACCACTAGAGCTACTGTCTCAGGCAGAAACCTTTTAAGGGTCTGCCAGCAAAGGAATTGGGGGAGAGGATGTGGGTTCCTGGGCACACCAGCAAGCATCTGAGGCACCTACACATGACAAGAAAAAGTAGTGTTTTTCCTCCGACTCCTGCAAAGAAGCCAATTACAAGAGACTTCTCTGGGGCATCAAGACATACTGGAATGTGCAGGCACACTTAAACCCTGAGTCCTCATTTCCTACTGCAGTCACTCTGCTTCCTTTAGCAGACAGTGGATACTTCCTTCCACCGATAAAACACTAACAGTTCTAGCCCCTCTATTCATTTCCCCCAAATAAATATATTTGATTGTGAAGTGGGTCACATTAAGGCAGCGAACTTAGACTCAGAAGGAAACAATGGGCTTAGATGAAAAAACTGTATATTAGGAAATCTCAATTCTAGGTCATGAAATTGACACCGGGGGCTACTGGTCTGAGGATTTCTGGAGAAGCCTCTGTCCTGGTTGCACACAGCAGTGTTGCTCGGAAGTGCTCCCTTCTGCATACATTATTAATGACTGAAACACAAACGCCAGAGACTACCTACTGGGATTTTCGTAGGATGCTGCTCTCGGATAAGTCGGACATCTTCTACTCTTTGTTCTGCAATGAAAAGACAAGACATAGGCATGATTAAGGGTGACAATGCAGCTTCTTTCCTACATATTCACTGGTGGTTTCCATATTTGAACTCACCTATCTATCCCTAGCTGTGACAGAGCAGTAAGAATATCCTCCCTAGAACTCAGGAGAACCAAACACTGGCGTTTCATGTCTGGTAAACTGCTATGTAAGGCCAAATGCAACTTCCATGTAAACCAACATGCAATTACATGCCTATAGCAGGTGGTTATGACCTAAGACCAAGAATAAAGAATTCCAACTTTCAAGGGTCTGGGACCCTAGGTTTCAGTCCAATATACTCATCAGACTGACTGCATGGTATTACCAACCTTTCCTCCAAGGACTCCCACCACCTGTCAATTTTTGTGAATTTTCCATAGTTTAAGTTGGTATAGAAATCTATGATCAACCACAGGCTCCCCAATGCAATTTTCCCTGATCACTTCTGCTTTTCAATGATATAGTCAGTCCTTAAAAGGAAAGAAACTACCCAATAGGCATGGGTAAAAAGAATTCCCTATTTGACTTTTAAATAGTTTCACTCAGTGCCCACCCTTCCCCTTGACAAAAAAGTATAAAGCACGTCTACTGCTGAATACTGGTTTATTGAGAATATCTTTATTCTCCCCCTTATATAAATATAAATGATCAGGATCATGGACTGCCTGAGAAATCCTGGCGACTTTGAAAAAAAGACGCTATGACCTATATAAATGTATACTACCATTACCAACTTTTTTTGGATTTCAAAAAAAAATTAATATCATTCTTCATTAAAACGACTGAAATAATTCCCATGTTCAAATCATGAACATTTAGGGTGTATTTTTCCCACTCAAAATTTCTAAACCAGCTTCTAAGATAAATCACTAAATATAAATGCATCTACTACAAAGACTGCAAATTTAGTGACTCATCACTTACATATAACACCCAGTGCTCAACCCAATAAGTACCCTCCTTAATGCCCATCACCCATTTAGCCCATCCTCCCCCCCAACACCCCTCCAGCAACCCTCGGTTTGTTTTGTATATTTAGGTCTCTTATGATTTGCTTGTTTTTATCTTATTTTTCCATCCCTTCCTCTATGATAATCTGTTTTCTTAGCTACTGTTAATAGTAAGCTTGACCGAGTGGTTCCCATCTAGAATACTGTGATTGATGTATCTAGTCCAGAACCTTGGAATTTTCTAAATGATAATAGTGAGGTATGGGCATCTTTTGTTATTCATAACAAACTCCAATCTACCATGTCTGAGTCTGTGTTAATGTGGTGACTTTTGGAAAGCTCCTAAGGATGTGAGACTGGTTGTCAGAGGAAAGAACAGTGATTTGAGGTTTGAAACTTTCAGACCCACCCCAACAACCAGGGAGGGGAAAGGGGCTCGGAGGACGAATTGATCACCGATGGCCACTGATTTACCCAGTCATGCTCTTGTAATAAAATCTCCCTAAATACCCAAAGGAGGGGGCTCGGAACTCTGGGTACTGGGAGAGGGGCACACACCAAACCCCATGGGGACGAAAGATCCTGTGCTCAGGACTCTCCCAGACTCTCCCCAGTACTTTTCATCAGGCTGGTCATCTGTGTGCTTTACTCTCCTTTGCAATAATCCGATAATCTAGTAAATCAACAGCTTTCCTGAGAGCCACTCCAGCAATTTAATTAAACACGGTTGGTAGGGGGCAGTTATGGGAACCTCTGACTTATAGCCAGTGGTCAGAAGCACAGATAACAAGCTGCACTTGCAGTTAGTGTTTGGAGTGGTGGGGAGGGGCAATATTTTGGGACTGAACTCTTATCAACCTGTTGGATCGGAAGCTATCACCAGGTAAAGACTTAGAACTGAATTAAACTGTGGGACAGCCATCAGTCAGCTGAGCATCTGACTCCTGACCTTGGCGTCTTGAGTTCAAACCCCACACTGGGTATAGGGGAGCTTGGGTGGCTCAGTCAGTTGAACACTTGATTCTTGATCTCTGCTCAGGTCATGATCTCATGGTTCATGAAATTGAGCCCCAACTGAGCCCTGTGCTGACAGTGTAAAGCCTGCTTGGGATTCTTTCTCCCCTCACTCTCTCTGTCCCTCTCCCTGCTCATGTTCTCTCTCTTAAAATAAAATAAATAAACTTAAAAAAAATCAAACAAACCACTTTGTGTATAGAGATGACAGCAAAAACAATTTTTAAAGAAAATTTTAGGACAGCCAGCTGAATTCAGCTTGCTGTATGGAAAAGCCACACCTCCAGGGTCCGAAGTGAAACAGTGATTAGAACTGAGAGTGAGAACTGATTAGAACAGTGAGAGTAGAGGAGACACGAGAGGAGTTTCTCCCTGGTATCATCCTTTAAATCCTTCCCTATGTCTTATTCCCCTTGCATGTGTCTCTCAGCTCCAAGCACTGTCCCTGTCTGTCTTACCCCAGGAAAAGGTGCTCTACTATATAGACTTAGCCAACACCCTTTTCAGAACGAAAAACTCCATTCTGTCAGGGAACATTCTTTCAGGTTAGAGGAAATCACAATTAATTCACTCTAGCAAGTGAATGATAATTTAATAGACCCCGGAATATGTTCCACATTTAAAAGCTTATCCTAATACGTTTTAAAGTTTAATTGGAAACATTCAGACAGAAGGGAGAGATTTTTTAATACAAGGAAATAGGTTGTTTTGGCAAGTGGAAAATGAAAAAACTGAAATAGGCTCTAAATATGAGGCTTCAAAGCTAGAAATAGAATTTCCATACTGTAGTATCAAAACTATCTTGACTTATCCCCAAAATATGGCCCAAAGGACAAAAATGATTATTTTTACTAAAGGTGGGAAAACCAAAGTATGAAGAAGAGTGACTTCCCTTAAGGTGAAAACACTTAGTACTGGGGCACCTGGGCGGCTCAGTCGGTTAAGTGTCTGACTCTTGGTATTGGTTCAGGTCACGATCTCACGGTTTGTGAGTTCGAGCCCCATATTAGGCTCCATGCTGACAGTGTGGAGCCTGCTTGAGACCCTCTCTCTCAAAAATAAATACATAAACTTAAAAAAAGAAAAAGAAAACACCTAGTACCAAAGTCTCATGGATATATATTCAGTGTCTTGAGCAGTAACAGTGAAAACCCAGTGGTGAACTGGAGTAAACTGAGCAAACATGGTATATGCCTATGCCTTGCTGTTTTGAATAGACAGCTATTTTCAGAGACTAACAGTTTATTTAACAAAAACATTACTAACAACACAAAGGCATGTATGAATAATTCTTTTACTCAAGTATTTTTTTTAATGTTGCAGCAATCTGTTTATTATTTGTCTTCTTCCATAGAGTGCCCCGGGCAGTCAGGGACCTGCTTCTAGTCATCTTTGTATTCCCCCAGCGCTCAGGCTTGTGCACAGAAAACAGTTAATAAACAAATTAAAGTTGTAAAATGCAAATAAATACTGCTCCAAACGCACACCACGATATACTTCCCCAGATTCCTTTCCTCCTGTTTCTAAGAACCCTTATAAGCCTTACAAACAGATAAAACTAGAGGATAGGAGTCTAAGGGGTCTTAGTTTACCAACATGCCATTTGCAAAGTTTCAGATTCCTGAAGACATTTAAAATAAAACTATTTCAGAGTGAAGTGGAACCATAATAAATATTGCCCCCCCATCTGTCTATAACTCATAAGTGTAATATTCAATACACCAATGAGTGGTACAACTTCAGTTCGTGGCTTGCTACCCGTGTCTTGGCATAAACCTTGCTCTCTAGGTCTACCTATTAGAGTAGTTAGAACTATTTATTCTAGACCAACACATACACATCCCATGACACATGCAAACTTTCCTGCTATTAATGGAGAAGCTTAAACCTGCTCACCACTAAATCATAGAAGAACAGTGTCATTAAATAAACTGGGGCAACCCCAGGAGCTAAAGCAAACCTATTACATCTGAGAAGTCCAAATCCAGAATTATTTGCTCAACTACAATTCTAGAAGTTCATAAAATTTTTCCACCTATATGCAAAGCCACCCTATGCCTTTGGACTCTGTGTTGGCCCATCTCGTGTATTGGAAATGATGGCTACCTCCTGGAGGCCGGAAAATACACGCAGTAAGTGCAAGTCCAGGCTCTGCCACTAGGTGGACCATGATCTTCACCTCTTTGGGCCCCACCCAGTTTCTTCAGCTACAAAAGGAAGGGGTTGTTTTGGGTGGAGCTGAAGGTCCACTTGAACGCTCTGAATCCAGGTAGAAGGTTTCAATTCTGACTTAACCTTAACTCACTCACATGGAAAGAGAAAGAACCGCTCAAGCTACCTAGGGCTCCTCTTAGACTCTAAGAAAAGGTTCTCGCCAAAGAATGAATTTCTCTCACTGGACAAGTCAGTGAAAATTGTCAGCGTTGGAGCAAGGAAGGGCAGCAGCCACTAAATGGTATTTGGTATTTTTCTGCAAAACGACTATTAAAGAGATTTTTTTTAAAAGGAGGGATGGGGGACTAAGGTGAGCCAAGGGGCAAGCCCACAAACAACATATAGATGATGCACTAATGGAGAAAATTGGGGCACTCCCGCTTTACCCGCAGGGCCACATTCCAGGTGAATTTCTTCTAATTCATGAGGACACATTAATCCCACTTTTCTTACTCTTACCACCTACTCTTGTTCAGAATTTTCTAGAGTAATCTAAAAATACTCTAAGCAAAAGGAGAGTAACTATAGTTTCAGTTATGAGAAAATAAGCATCTTTCCCACACAAATGTCCCCAGTTAACTTGTTTTTTCCCCCTTTTTTAAGCAAGCTCCATGCCCAACGTGGGGCTTGAACTTACGACCGCAAGATCAAGAGTCACACAGCTCTATCCACTGAGCCAGCCGGCCGACCCCAGTCAACGTCAAAATAAATGCAAGAGCCGGTGTGGACGGAAGCCAGATACGCGAGGAAATGTGCCTCGGATGCTGCCTTCGGGCCGCAGGAGGGATGACAGCGCTGAGTCCACGAAGGTCGTCAGCGGGAAAATCTCCGACGGGACATGTGTGTCTCCGTCCCGCCAGTAACGCGCGGCCTCCGGAGCCTGAACACCGCTCGGCAGGCCGGCGTGAGTCCCCGAGTGCGGGGCCCGCACGACTAGCCCTGACGACAGCTATGGACCCCGGCGGAACGCTCGGCCCTTGGGCGCTGCGGGACCCACAGGGGGCACGGGCCCCGCAGAGGCGCGCGGGGAACCGGGGTGCACACGGCCGAGCCCCGCGATTGCGGCCGGTACCGACCGTCCCCCAGACACACGGCCGAGGGGTCCACGGCGTCCTCGCGGGGCGTTCTGGCTCCAGGAGAGCAGCCGTCGGTTCCTGCTCCCCGTTTCCGGGGGCCGCGCACCGCCGGAGCCTCTCCCGCCGCGAACGGGCCCGGGACGCGCCGCCACGCCCGGTCTCCCCTCCCCCACCTCCGGGTCCCCTGGGGCTCACGGTTCTCCCGTCGAGCGGGGACCCGACGTTTGTGAGCCACCCCGTGGGGTCCAGCCTTACCTGAACCTGATTCACTCGCATACTAGTGCCACCACTTCAAAGGACCTGTCACTTCAAAGGCCCCCGCGGGGACGACCCTTCTAACTCGGGGCCGCGCGGCCCGAGGGGCGGCGACCCCCCCGTCCCCTCCCCCCCCCAGCACCGGAGGGCTGAGGGACTGCCCTGCCCGCAGGCACGAGGGGCCAAAAGGTGATTCAGCAGCTCCGCGCCGGCGCGTCCCGACCGACGGTGTCGCTCCCCCGCCGCCAGCCCCCGCCAGCCCCCGCCAGCCCCGACGCCCCCCAGCCCCCATCGGCCCCCGCCCCGGCCCCTCAACCGGCTCCCGCCTCCGCCGCCGCCGACTCTGGCCACCCTGGGTCCCCGCCTCGGCCCTTCCGCGGGCCCGGCCTCCCTCGGCCCGACGTCAGTCCGCGGGCCCCGGCCCTCCAGGCCCCGTCCCCCTCAGCTCTCCAGGGCCCGACGCCCCTCAGGCCCCGGCCCTCCGCGGCCCCCCTCAGCCCTACAGCAGCCCCCGGCCCTCCGTCGGGCCTCCTAGGTCCGACCCCCTCAGCCCCCGGGCCCCGGCTCCTCTGTCAGCCCCCGGCCCCCGGCCCCGACCCTCCTCACCCCCGGCCCTCCGTCAGCCCCCGCCGCCGACTCGGGCAGCCCTGGGTCCCGGTCTCGGCCCCTCCGCGGGCCCGGCTCCCCGCCGCACCCACCGAAGGTTCGGCGCTGTTTGAAGGTCTTCTCCGACGGCATGGCGCGGGAGGCGAGGCGGAGGGTCCCAGCTGTTCCAAGAGGCGGCGGCGGCGGAGACTCCGACTGTGGCGACAGCGACTTCCCTTGTGTCTCTTCAGGCCGCAGCCGCGTCAGGTGACCTGCGCGGCGTCCTAGGGGGCGGGGCCAGGGCCGGCCGCCGTAGCCGCCATGGCGGGCGTGGCGGAAGCGGGGCCGCGCGCGTGCGCAGCGGAGAGGCCGCGGTGCGCAGGCGCGCGGCTGCGCTGGGTGTGGAGGTCCGGGAGAGCCCGCGGCGGGGAGCGCGCATCTGGGCCCGGTAGCCGCGCGTCAGAGCGTCTCCCGCGTCGAAGTCGCGCGTGGCCCAGCCGCTCCGACTGAGCCCGCCTCGCTTGGGGCCGCCTCTGTGAGGAAGCGCCGACCCGAAAATGCAGTCGCTCCGTGCTCCCGCCGCTGCGCCAAGGGCCCGGGGGCTGCGGGTTGCCGGTCCAGATCAGGCACTCTGAACGCGCAGGGGCCGCTGAGGTCGCCGGGCGCGTGGCGAGGGGACGCGGGGTGCCCGCGCGTGCCCGCGCCCGCAGGACGTGCCGGGGTGCGGACCCCACTGCGCTGAGCACCTCGTGCTTTGAACCGCCTCTCCGGGCCTCTTTCCCGGTTAAGTCTGTGGAAGCCTCTCTGGAGCGCGCGTTTGGTAAAGCGACTGCGCTGGGCGACGTACGTTATGGTGCAGACACACCACACGCTAAAATCTGTTTCTCGATGTGGTTTTAATATGGTTGGGATTGCTTTTCTTACAGAAAAGCCGAACGTGGTGCGGTCCCTTGTGTAATTATTCCCCAGGACCACGAGGTTACTTGTAGCTTTTCGCTCCCTTCTGCCCCAGGTTTGTTCCCCTTTGTCACAGTCCTTTATCTTGAAAAACCTCTTGAATAAACACCGCGTAAACATTTTCTCTGGTTGCCAGAGTCCCAAAGGAAGGCTCCAAGCTCCAAGGTATTATCTTGGTTGCTTTGTATTTATTCTGTGAAAATTGGGAAAAGAAATCCGGTAAGCGCTTGTTCTGTACCCACCTGGTGCCAAACGCATAATGATCGGGGTTGAAGTCTTAAAAGACAGTGTGGACTGTACACTGCTTTCTTTTGATTTTTTTTAAAAAATATTAAATATTGACTGGGGAGTTGCTTTCTTGGCTTAATTGCTATTTTGTAAGAAATGGACTTTTCGTTCTCTTGCTGGACAACTGATCCAAATGCAAGAGGGGGGAAAATCAATATCTGGCATATGGAGGTGGGGGAAGGGAAGGAGAGTTTCATATTTCCCTAGTCCCTTAGGCGTGCATAAAGCTTTACCGAATTACCCCAGGCCTTGAGTTTGCAGCCCCGGGGATAGGCTTCAAGGGCTCAGGTAGTGATGCCACAGAATCACTCTGTGATTTTCAAGTACCGAAGTCGGCGTTTACAGTGACTGCTAAAGTCTTCCCTAACCTTGAATTCCTACTTGCACCTAAATCCACGTCTCACTACGTGTGCCTCAGAAAATCCTCTACGACAGTGGGCATGTAAAGGTCTCTCGTAAGCATCATCGTCGTGTAAGAATAGCATATTCATATAATTAATGTTAAATCAGATCTAAAATTTACTAATTGATTTTAACATGCAGATAATGTAACTTAGTTTAACTTTTGAAAACAAGTGTGCTTGAGCATATGAAAAATCTCACATGCCCTCAGATTGCAGTTTAATTGGTAATAGTTTGATGTAGTGAACAATTTTCAGTGGTAAATTAATGTTCATGAATTATATCAAGCTAATTAATATAAGCACAGTACGATTTATTTTTAAAAGGATAATATATTACCATTTCTTAAAATAACCCATATAAAGTGGAAAAGCAAGAACACATCTTTCATTTAAATTTATTCAATGCTTTCTCCAGGAATCTCATGGCGCTTTTAAATTATTGAACTAGTATTCCAGCAAGCCAGATGGTGTCAGTTTTAAATAACTCGGACTCTATTCTTCTGTGACATGAAATGACCATAATTGTGGAGGAAATAAGGTCACTGCTAAAAATTGAACATGATACCCTCCCTCCCCGCATTAGTGATGTAATGTGGCTGTAAATCATGCTGTCCGACTATTTCTAAGAATCTGTTAAATGAGGCCCGAAACGTTAACCTGCAGGGCAGGAGACATTATTTTTGCCACACACAACATGGAGGAGGAGTCACACCAAGAGGTTGTTCAGCACCTCAGGGCGCCCTGGCCTGTCCCACCTCTCCTCTTTCTGATTGGAAGAGATCTTCCAGCCTGGAGGATGTCTGGGCACTCATTGGCCAGTTGTGCTATCATTCCCTGTGTCATCTCTTTGCTCTTTAGACCAAGTAAACAAACAAGTATTGCTCAAGAGAAGCCCAGGAGCTATTCTCAGAAAGGATTTAGTCAGGAGGATTTTGAAGTTGACCCTCAATGGATAGAGGTGTTTAGGAGTGTCCTCGCTGGCTCCCGGGAGCTGCTGTCAGCAGCCGCGAGAGACACCGTGAGACACCGTGTGCCACCGTGCCTCCTCTCCCAGGGAAGCTGTCTCTCTGAGACAACCTCAGAAATCAGCGAGCGAGTGCATGCAGGAAAGCCAGCACAGATCACTCACATGACCTAACATTATTTCTGAAAGGAGCATGAACAGCTGATTCGGTGTTCCACAGGTTCTTTGCTTATAAGCAAATTCGGAAGGATCTGTGTTTCCAGCTTTTGCCCATTTATGGGACTGTTAAGGGAGGCATCCGTTGAGTGTCTATGGGCCCTCTTATTTTCAACTGTGAACCTTTGTTTGGCCTTTGAGTGTCTCCCCTTCTTTCCATTTGACTTATTCTTCCGAGCAACGGGGTAAGATTCCATTTTCACATCTGGATTGTGAGAACCAGCAGGGGTAAAAAAGTTAACAGTTTATTTAGGTCCAAGAAATACTACTTTCTGGGACAACCATTTTTTTAATGTTTATTTATTTTTGAGAGAGAGAGACACACATACACACACACAGTGCGACCAGGGGAGGGGCAGAGAGAGATGGAGACACAGAATCCGAAAGCAGGCTCCAGGCTCTGAGCTGTCAGCACAGAGCTAAATGTGGGGCTCGAATTTTGGAACGGTGGTATCATCACCTGAGCCTCTCGAATTTTGGAACGGTGGTATCATGACCTGAGCCTGACTGAGCCACCCAGGCACTCCCTGGGGCAACTGATAAAAAAATAATCCTTCTCGGTAATCTACTTATCTCCTTAGATGTTACCAATTCTCTAGAACAAAGAGTTCGTTATTATAGTCTCATCCTAGTGTTAAAACAAATGATCTCTTTCATCTAGTTTTTTTGTTTTGTTTTGTTTTGATATGAACATATCCTCCTTACTGTTCTTTGTATGGGATACATTTCTGTATAAGGGTCAATGAAAGTGTTCAGGACACACAAAACTTTTTGGGTTTAATGTGTAATAGTTATCTGCTACCCATAGCCTTTCCCCTTGGGCTCCTTTCTGCCAACAGGGGCCACCAGAGCTCCCACAGCCAAATGTTTCTTTCTATTCTGGTTAGCACCAATTTAATCCTTGCACATGTTGGGGTGGCTTATCATATGCAATGTTCTGTTAGTCTTGCCCTCAAGAATACACAGATATAGCTAGCTCTTCCTAACTGTCTGGTTATCCAATCCACACTATAAACAGAATAGTTTCACCATTCTTCTAAAGATGGAAATTTAACAAAATTATTTTGTACATTAATACAACTCTAGGCTCCTCCAAGAGAAAATTGCCAAGGGTGAAGATAGATTTAGGAAAAAAACTTCACTAAAATTTAACAGTGGCAAAGATTATGCTTTAGAAGCTATAGATCCACACTGAACATAGCACAGAGGCTAGTCAGGCATTCTGCAAAAGTTTATCACTTATTTCCGCTTGCTGAAATACTTCGTAGCTTGGATACAATGCTGATCCACCAGGCTTCTCTAAATCTGTGTGGTTCATGTTATTCAGTTTTTAGTCTTATAGGTGGGGTTTTTTTTTTATTCAAGAAACAGTCAGTAAACATTCATTGACTACATGATGACGTGTGTTGGCGTATCTATCACGTGACAAGGGCTACATCTAGGGAGATTGGTACAAAGGAAGCAAGTGTTTATGACAAAACAATGTGATGGGCTTCTTCCTAGGAGATGCTATTTGGGGACAAGGAGGAAGGGGCTCTTTAATGGCACAGAGGTGATTGGTCTTGCTGGCAGAGGAGAGGCTTGAGCCACGTCAGAGATGTAACTAGGCTGGTGAGTTTTGGATTGTCAGAGGGCGCCCCTGAGAGATGGGTGTGGGCACAGGCCCTATGGCCAGACTGGGATTTACACGTGGCGTGGTAAGGAATCATTGGGACCATTAAATACCTTTACGTAGGTGTGCGCCACAGCAGCAAGTTGGCTTTCGCTTATGTGTTACTATTGCAAAGAATAGTGTTGTGATACGAGTGTGGAGACTGGTCTGAAAAACAGTCTAGATGCAGAGAGGCCAGTTGGGTGTTGTTTTTCAGTGGCGCTCACCTGAGCTGGTCAAGGTTTGAACTATGACGTACTGTGTTGTTATTTTTGTTAGAAGATGCACTTCCCCTATTATCAGATTCCACGGACCAGGGGAGGCAGCCCTCTTTCTGGCCTAAGACATCTCTACAGAGGTGATAGTGAACAGTCAGGAACTGTGGGAACTGTGGTCATTAGTTTTCTATCTGATTAGCAAGACCTCAGCCTCCGCCAGAAACACTGGGGTGGCCAGGGAATTCCTGGCTTCGCTTTATACCCAGGGCAGTTCCTGCAGGGTTTAAGGCTTTGTTGTAGAGAGGTTCCTGTAACCACATCCACACCCCCTGGGGCCTGACTCTGGAAACGACTAATAACTAGTTTCTTGTTGTGAGCTATTTAAGGTAAGCCACTGTCACGGGAAGGCTATGCATAGTCTCCCCAGTTGGGCTCCGCCTTCTAGAACACACGTGCCCTGGAGCACAGTAAACAAGGTAACTAAGGGCGGAACCACAAGACCAGTTTGGACAGCGCTGGAGTTGGTGTTTTGATTCATCAGTTAGCATGATTTCTCCTTTCAT